AGACAGCCCCCCCCTTATGTTCAGTCTAATAAGTTTAAATTGAAATATCAATATTATATATACACATATCTTTAACATTGAAACACAAACCCTTCATACCTGTAGCAATCAGTATCTTAACTTCACCACTTCTTAGATCGTCTAGAGCTTGCTCGCGGTCTTCTTGGTCCCTAGTACAGTACACAGTACAGTACACCACAGTACAGTACAACACATTACAGTGCAACACAGTACAGTACAACACAGTACAGTACAACACAGTACAGTACAACACAGTACAGTACAACACAGTACAGTACAACACAGTACAACGCAACGCAACGCAACGCAACGCAACGCAACGCAACGCAACGCAACGCAACGCAACGCAACGCAACGCAACGAGAATCATAATCCATTTCACTGTATTAATAGGTCTAAAATGTGATTGCATTTTCATTGATATTCAAAATAACCAGTGATATGAGAAATTTTAATCAGATTTTACTTTATTGAATAAAATCAAAGTTGTCTATGGTATAGAAAATAGTAGAAGCCAAATTTTCTTGAATAAGGGCGAAAAAAAAATATTTTTTTACCTGTCTCCGTGAATTGACTGGCATGATATGAACATTAGCGATAACTCAACTAGTTAATATAATTTAAGCTTAAGTTGAGTTTCAAAATATAATTCAAATTAAATCAGTGCTTGTGATACATATTCACAACATTTGAGCTCCTTAATCTAAAAAAACCCACATTTTAGTGTCAAGAAGTTGGAGATCTATCTTCAAATACTAATTGATCAAGTTTCTACGTGGAAGCCTAAGGTTTATATTAGGAACCATTTTACTCATTATTAGCTAGTTTGATTCGGATTTTACTAGGGCGGAACTAGGATCTGGATCGGCATTAGAATGAAACAGATCCTTGCAGAGACTGTGACCGTAATTTCAAGTGACCCTCCATGAAAAGATGACAATGCCCGATTTACAACGGTACCCGTGTGAACTATACCTGATCAAGTATGAATTAGATTACAATGTTTTTTATTCTATAAACTGATAATTTTCATTTTGCATGGAGGGTCACTTGAAATTTCGCTTTCATTCCATTTAAACACTAATACAAATAAGAAAATTTCAATGATATATATAAATTCTAAATTTCCTGATAACATGGTGACAGAGGATTTCCTCCCGGCGAACACTATAACCTATAATTATTCATAAACCATTTAATTTAAGTATTTTACTAGTTAATGATAATTTCTTTAAAAATTTAATTCTCTGACTGACGACTTACTAAACATATTTTAAAAGGTTAACAAAATACAACAATTATAGGTCGAGTTTAAAATTTGTATTTTAGTGTTAAGGCAAAGAAACGCCATATGCTTCGTATTAAAGTTAAGTTTCACCTTATCGTCCTCCTCCATGCTTTTGATGAAATCCACCAAATACTTCATCTTCTCCTCTGCCGCCACCTGAAGTTGTTAAGGAGTCACAACTAACATCATAAATTGTGTTATTACTAAAATAACTTATGGATTAAATGAACCTAGCTTTAGCATGCACTAAAAGACTAAAATTTAAATTACTAATAATAAGGCTAGAAAAGCAAGAAAGTACTACTAATAAAAACTTTTGTTAACCGTTTCCACCGAGTTTGTTTGGAACTGTTTCCAAGACTTGTGCTCGCGCAATTTTATGAGGAATTATGTCCTGTCCAAACAGCACCAAATTGATGCAACTTTATTCATGAAAATCTGACATAAAACAAATTCGTTGTCCATAACACGGACATTTTTTCATCTAAAGAATAGTCAATCAGTTTTCGACTTAACAGCTGTGTTAGAAATGTCAGAAAAAAAACCTTCTTAACTGAAGAAGATAAATTAGTCTGTTTTTAAAGAAGATGAATTATCAATTTAAAAGGTTGGAGCTGGCATTATTATTGTCGAGTTGAACAATTAACCCTCATAATAGCTTGACTTACTTGAATAATCTCTTGTGTCACACTCTTCACAGCAGCTAAATCCAGGGAACCTAAAGTTATCAATTCTTCATCACAATATCACATAAGTAAAATTGGTTGCTGTTAAAATGAGGAAGATTTCCATTTCTAAAATTGTGCCATGGTTACACAATTGAAAAAAATTTTACCTACAAAAACTGTGGCTGGATCTACCATATATTTTGTCGCTAATCTACGAACGTCTGGAGGCCAGGTGGCACTTGTCATAACAGAAATACGGTCAGGTCTATCAAGTTTTTGAAGTTAGTATTAGTTTAAAGTGGCTTGGTGTAATTTCTATAAACCCTCCATGAAAAGATGACAATGCCCGATTCACAACGCATTATCTGATCTAGTATGAATTAGATTGAAAACTGACAATTTTCAAATGTAGTTTCTCTACAAAAAGGTCTTGCGCATGTCTTCGGAAGTTTTCACCACATCTTCTTCCCAATTATTGATCAGAGATGGAATTTAAATCCGCCAAAACCCGGTTTAAAGTTAGCGCCGGCTTAAATCTTGAAATATTTGATACAATTCTAAGTGGAACCAACCATATTTAAGCCGCGGCTTAAATTTAAACCGCCGCTCAAATTCTTTAAATTCGGCCACAGGTTGAGGTTTACATTCATTAATCGGGCATTGACATCTATACATGTGGATCAATTGAAATTACACTAGCAGTCACTATAAAACAAAATTCTTCAAATAACATGGTTCCTGATGTCGCACAGTGTCTTTCGAATTTCATACTCGAATCCTTGGTCTAACATTCTAAACAGGATTAAATTGAATTGAGAAAAGTAAATATATTGTCAGGACGGAAACAGGACAGAAGAACATATAGAAAAAATTGTCTTGACAACACTTTTAACTCCAAATTAGATACAGATTATGTTTCAGTAGCATGAATCCATTTTTTCATTAGACAAAACCTTTCATTAATGGGGTGTGGGAGGGGGGGGGGGGGAAAGATGTATTTTAATTTATCATACTTAAAATAATTCATAATTCTAAAATGTCAATACCGAGTTACTTATAAAATATTTTTGACTTTAGACCATTTATTTAGTAAAAATTTCAAAATATCATCGTAAAAAGATTATGAAAAATGTATAACATTATACCTATCCGCCTCGTCTAGAACAAGATAGGTGATGGTTTCTAAGTTTATAGCACCCTTCTCAACAAAATGGTTGAATCTACCAGGTGTAGCTATTATGATCTCAACACCTTGAAAGTAAACGTTCTTATACAGATCAGGGACAAAGTCCACGTGACTTTGTTTCCCCTTTTCAATCGTTCCCCGACCGTTTTCTACCCAAACCCGACAAGTTTTCTGTCCTTTCATGTTTTAACGTTGTTAAGTCGTCATCATTTATACCAATACCAATACCAATACCAATCCAAACCAGATAGTCAGGGTGCCCTCCTTCCACTCCCCAAACTTGAAATGAATGATAATAAGGCGACTCCACTTTTCAGGATCTGGATCCGCATCAAAATTAAATGGATCCTAATTAATGATTTCTATCAATTTCTTTCAAAGGGCACACATCAACAAAAACAAATTGTCAATTAACAGCTTCTTTTTGTTAATTATTAAACTTATAATTTGAAAGAGAATTGTTAGGGATCAAAGCATGAATAAAAAATAGTCTTCATTCTATTGATCACCCCGACGATCACTGTGCAGTGTACCTTTCTCTATTGCCTTTAGCTGCTCATTAAAGCTTCCACCACCGTAGACACATACAGATGATATCCCTCGGTACTCGTACTTCTTTACCTAAAAGAGACTGTAAACTTAATTTTAATTATTCCTCCATTATTACAGGAACATTAAATATTGTTATAACTCGCATAGAAAAAGCTTGAAATCACAAGTTAATAATGGATATTTTGATGATTTATTTTAAAAACGATTTCCACCAACAGTAATAATTATTTACTACTACTTAACAGGTAAGTTAAAGGAATTTTACTTAACAAAGGGTTCCAAAGACCAATTTTGTTTACCATAAATCCAGCGCGCAGCGAAGGATGGTTTGAAGGCAAAATTGGTCGAGGAAACCCATGATTATGTAAAAAATTTAATCAAACGAAAAAGTAGTTTTAAACAGTTTTTATCGTCTTTTGAGATGAAATGCGCGAATTTAATATCGAAAACTTGGCAGAGCGGGTCGTTATTTTACTATTAGTCCCAAGGGACGTAAAGTAACTTAAAAGTAAGACCTCACGTGACCCCAGGGAAGGTTGTTGGGTGCTCAATGCGCTTTTATAATGTACAAAGAGAAGGAGCCACAATGAAAAATTTAGATAGAAGATGAACGCAAGGCACCCAGAAAGCCTAGAGTTGGTAAAAAGTCGGCAACATATAAAACAGAACAAACCTCGCCAGATATTTGCTGCGCGAGCTCCCTGGTTGGAGCGAAGATAAGAACACTAGGACCTCCTCTCTTTCCTCTTCAAACATAATATGTTTTTCATCATTTATAACATACCATTGTAATTAACGGTTATTTTTACGCATCTTAAAGATTAAGATATTCTACATAAATTATCAGGCAGTTTCCACAAAATGGCTAAATCTTTTGCGCAAAATTTGCGCTATTTTCGCGTAAATTTTTTTTGCGAACTTTTGCGCATGAAACGCAATGAGTTTAGCGCGGTTTTGCGCTATTTTTTTTGCGCAATTTGCGCAAAACCGGAAATATTTTTTTGCGCAATTTGCGCAAAAATTGTCAAAACTTGATATTCTAAGCTTAGAATTAAACAACTGAAGATTTATTCCATACATAAAAAAATATTAACATACGAGTAATGATAACGATTATACAACACTCAATTGGTTACTTCCAGTTACAAAAAGTTTAAATTAAGGGACCAAAATTAATAAAATAGAAATTAGAGAGAGTGAAACTTGGCAATATTTTAATCCTATTAAATATTTTCAAGTGAATAAGGTGCGCTTCCTTGATATTTGAACTCTTCTTAACTGTCGTTGGTCAATTATGTAAAAGTGACCAATAGGAAGACATTCCAACACAAGATTTTTCCAGAATTGAATTCTAAGAAACACACACCGTCACCAACCGTTTGATTTTTACAAAATTGCGGAATTGCGCAAAACTCTAGTTGCGGAATTGCGCAAAACTTAAGTTTCGCAAAAGCGGAATAGGGCAATTTTTCGCGAAATGACTTTTGCGAATGATTGCGCAAATTGTTTTTTTTCGCGCAAAACTGATGCGCAAGGAAAGAAAAATATTGCGTTTCGTTCCGCAAAAATTTCACAAAAGTTTTGCGAATGGAAACCCTAACTGCAAGAGAAAATTAGATTAAAAAACTGGGAATGTTTGTGTTGGATCCAAATTGCTTGATATCGATATCCACTGAAGGGGACTTAAAATTTAAGGATCTTTTTAAACTATATCTTTCTTTTTTATAATTTTTGTTAATGCCTTCCTTGATAAAAGATACCTTCAACCACTGACTTATCGAATACCAATCGGGATATTGCATAAAGATTAAATAGAAGTGCAGATTAACAAGACAGATCGATCGATATCAAGACTTGCAGATCAAATCAAATCAAATCAATGGTGTTTTTTGTCAGCCAAAACTCGATTTTTTTTATTGTTTTCACAGTTTTGATAGCGTCAATAATAATAAATGGAGTCAAGTCGACATTTTAGTTACAATTGGCCAAATATCATAAGTAATATGGTTATTTTGAAACTAAAATAAACCGACTTTTTGACGATTAGAAAAAAGTTCTTCACCAATAAAAGCGTTCAAAATAAAACTAACCTTGGAATAGTCTGTCCTTCAATATGGATAAATGCAGGGAGCAGAAACCCCAGGGTTTTACCAGTTCCTGTTTAATCTTACGTTTTTACTTTTTCAGCTGATATTTTAGAAAAATGCATGGGGAAAAATGTGAGGCACTAACGGGTATTTTTAGGGCGGGAAACTTTAGACAAATTCAACTTTATAAAATTTATTTAAATTAGAAGGAACATTTATTAATAGAAAAAATAACGATTATTATGATTATTTTTTCATTATTTTTAAAAACGTGTTGAAAATGATACATTTATTTCTATCTGTATCGTAGAAAACTTAAGAATTGGTGCAAGATAATTATTTTTAACACGGGTGTTCATGTCTTCATATGAACTTATAAAAATGTCAAGTTTCCTGTCTGGGCTATGCCTATCACATCTTTACCAGACAGCAGATAGGGCCACATCTGACACTAAAACGAAAATACATCATTAACAAGTCTTTAAATTTCTTTATTTTTACATTGATAATTCTGAACTCTATGCAGAGTTCTTTGGATTTGTTTCACCACAAATATCATATAATGGCTTCTATATTTAACTGCATTTTAAGGCGTTAAAGACTAAAATAATTAGACATCTTCTGAAATTTCAGGATATTTCGCTGGAGAGGATACCTTTTAATGTGTTAAAACATAAAATAGCTTAAGCCTAAATTCAGTCGACTTTTCTTAATTCTGCTAAAAATAGTCAACCTTTTGGAAGACAATAGATTATTGTTGCCTTAAGTTGTACCTGGATAGGTGATGGTCTTTCAAACCCCTGGTTTTGAATAGTCTCCATGATCTCAGGGTACCTGGAGAACGCCTCTTCAAATGTAAACACTGGCTTCATCAGAGCAGCTGTGTCGTTTTCATTGAAGTTTTTCACCTTTAATAGCATCGAAAGATTTAACTACAGGGTGTCCCACGAAACATGACAGTATGCAGGACGACTTGAATGTCGTCTTGATTTTTGATATAATTTGCTGCGTTTATTTTTCAACCTAATTTTAGAAGTAAATTTCTAGAGATAATAATCACAAAATTTCCCTTGTCCTGCCATTTCCAAAATGTGGTCTGCCTTTTTTGTGCTTCCAATATTGCCCAAGATATAAAGAATTTCGTTCAGTTTCGACAATTTTGCTTTTATTTAACAAAATTGAAATCTGAACCAAACTCTTTATATCTCCAGTAATATAGACCACTTTTTGGAAATGCCAGGGCTAGGAGATAGTTGTGATAGTTGTTTCAAGAATCATACATGTTAAAGTAGATACAGGGTGTCCCACGAAACATGACAGTATGCAGGACGACTTGAATGTCGTCTTGATTTTTGATATAATTTGCTGCGTTTATTTGTCAACCTAATCTTAACTGTAAATTTCTAGAGATGATGAATCACAAAATTCCCCTAGTCCTGCCATTTCCAAAATGTGGTCTGCCTTTTTTGTGCTTTCAATATTGCCCGAGATATGAAGAATTTCGTTCAGATTTCGACAAGTTTGCTTTTATTTAACAAAATTGAAATCTGAACCAAACTCTTTATATCTCCGGTAATATTGAAAGCACAAAAAACGCAGACCACTTTTTGGAAATGCCAGGGCTAGGAGAATTATGTGATAATTGTTTCAAGAATCATACATGTTAAAGTAGATAGAAGACTAAATGTCAAAAATAAATTCAAATATCAAAGACGACTTTCAAGTCGTCTTGCTATTGTCATGTTTCGTGGGACACCCTGTAGAAGACTAAATGTCAAAAATAAATTCAATTACCAAAGACGACTTTCAAGTCGTCTTGCTATTGTCATGTTTCGTGGGACACCCTGTAGAAGACTAAATGTCAAAAATAAATTCAATTACCAAAGACGACTTTCAAGTCGTCTTGCTATTGTCATGTTTCGTGGAACACCCTGTATCAGGCTTTCGTCCTTTTATGTATTTAGTTTTACGAGTCTTACCCTAATAAATGAGTTGAAATTATTCATTCATACACAAGAAAAACAACGGAAGAAAATTTAATAATCTTGAAGCATTTAAGTTAAGGTTATCACTGAACCATATAAAATGAAAAGTTGGACGAGTATCTCCAACCATAAAAAAATTCTTGAAATTATGCATTTGTACAAATTGAGCAGTACTTATCAAATCTTAGTATTCACGTTCTTTAATGTAACTTTTTCAGGTACGTTAACTAAAATATTTCTGTAAAAATACCTGGATCTTATTATTAGAACGCCTGAATTTCTCAACTTCAGCTTCAGATCTGGCTTTAACAGTCTCCTAGGTAGTAATGCAAGCGTTTGGTGACAATTTTAAAGTAACAAAAAACCACTTCAAATAACTAAAGTTATTTTTTGTTTGTTTGTAGAAACCTTACACATTAATTCAACACACAACAGGCTCAATTTGTTTAAAACTTGATTGATTTCAGAGTCTAGAACAATGTTAACCTGCAAGATATAACAGACATCAAATAAAATGCAGGAAATACATCAAAGCGCATAACAAGCTAAGGACAATGTCATATATTAGACAAGACTTGGTGCACGACAATAATAGTCCGCTCAAACCCTCTTCTTTATTTCCAATAATGAACCTATTTATTTTATTAACCCCGGATCCTGTGTCCTGGATTGTCAGATAAATCCTATACTCTTAGAGGATACAAAATCTGGAATCTACACTGAAGAGAAATTTCCCTTTCTGTGTGGAAATTTGGATGTGTACGTGCAAGGTTATACTGTATGCACATTGTGTATAAACTCTGGTGTACACTGTACACATTTACATTCTACATGGTATGATGTGGTATAACCATAGAGAATAGAATATATAGAGAGGAATTAAAAGAATCTCTCGGTATGAATTTTTTCAGTCCCTTTCAGCCTGAAAGGGAGTTCAAAGTGTACAAATCATGCAAATGTTCACAAATTATATGCAGTAGAGTACATTAATACAGTATGTTCCCTAGACTATCCATTTCAATTTCGAATTTTTTAAACTGTTAAATAAACTTTATAATGAATTAGGTGAATAAAAACATCATTTGATTTATAGTTATAACGGAAAATCATCGTTTGTAAAGTGGAAGGCATAGAGTCTGTGTGAAATGATCATTGGTCAGTTATGAAACCAGCCTATTTCATAATTTGGTTTTCTTTTAACAATAATTTTAGATTTTCTATTAAATGATATTCCAGGGCCCACCAGGTTATATGGCATAAATATGTGAAGTACACCTGCAGTATGGAAACAGTACAACAAAATGGCCGTTTTACACTTTTTCCAGTAAATTCCTCTCTATATATTCTATTCTCTATGGGTATAACAATAGTGGCTGATTCCGTGACAACATGTATTTTGTTTATGTCAACAATTTCTTATTTTAAAGTGTAGTATTAACTTTTAATCAGAATATTAAATATATAAAAGCCAAGAATTAAACTTAATACAAGGGCATTTTATTAAGGTAATTCGAAAAGTTGAATAAAGATTTGTTTGCGGTTCTGCTTAACTAATTTTGGATTATACTAAAGAATTCTCTTACAAACGATGTAGTATAGAGGCCATTGATTTTCGTAAACTGTTCCCTTCAGAATATCTTAAATCTATTCTAAAGGTTTCAAATCAGTTGCTAATATTATTTTGTATCTTTATATACAATATGCAAACAGTTCTAAACCGTTAACATTTCCGACACCACCAGGTAAGAACCAAGTTTAAATGGGGTTTAAGTACTTTCATCCCCCCCCCCCCCGTGTATGTGTGAGGGTCAATATAATCACGCCACAAGACTAAAATTCCGTATTTAATCCTTTAACGTAAAGCTGTAATACCTGTTCCACATAAAAGTTCTTTACGATCGGAGGTAGAGCACCCCATTTTCGCTTAGACTCGGATTCCATACTTTTCCTGAAAAAAAAGAGGATGATGCATCCAAAAGTCGTCTTCCCTGGAAAACCTACTTCAATGCAACAATTTCCACTTACATGACAATTTTAAGCCGCCCAAGTCAAATCATATCAAAATTGTAACTGCTAGTGAACTTAGGTTTCTTAACTGTTTAAAGAAGAGATGCATATTTCAGGGTAACCCACAGTGTGAGATTTGAATGACGATTTTAAACTCTTCCAAGACTAACTTTATAGGTTTTCTGTCGGAGATAGTATTTCATGGTATATTCGACAATTTGAAAAAGGAGAAACAATTATAGCGCAGGATCTATGGATGTATGAAGAAAAAAACTACCCTGCATGTCTTCTTAAAACTGTCATGTTAAAACTTTACAGGACTGTAAGCATAATTTAAAGAGACTCTCCAAGCAAGAAGATGGCAATTCCGGATCAAAACGCTAGAGTTGAAACCTTTATCTTAACAATAATGTGGAAGATATTGTCGAATTACTATGTCCTAAAATTCTTTGTAAAGAAACCACAACAGAAAATATTCAGTTTTCAAATTCAAAAATATTCAGTTTTCAAATTAATAAAATTAATATATAATTTAAACTTTAGCAGAAAAAGCTTTTAAAGATACCATTGTGAATGGGGTGTTGCCATTTTTTAATAAAGGGTCATTAAAAATTAGACTTGTACACTGGTACAGTCCCTTTAATGGGACACAATGACTGACTTACTTGAAATCACTCCAATTAATGGTAGTCTCCTCTGTCTCTGGTGGACCGAACTCATCCTTGTCTCCTGAATCTAGAACTCCCCAGTGTGCAGGTACACCTGGACGTCCGTGTCCCTGGTCTCCAGCACTTAATAGAATTGTATATTTTCATGGAAGGACTTAAATATTTGTCCCTGAGGAAATAGTATGGATGGACTTTTATCTTAACTATAGAAAAGAGTAGGGATAAGCTCTTTTCTTTTCCTAAAGAGATAAGAGGGGGTGGTCTTAATCATTAAAGAACTATGAGCTGAAAATTTACAATGGGATATCCTTAATCCAGATCGGATAATTAATCCTGGAGATTAATAACAAGAGGAGATTAATCTTGAGATTAAGAAAAAGAGTGGATCAAGCATTAGTCCCGATATTCACCATTCAAAAGTTCCCAGCTCAGGGGAGATAGGATTTAATCTGTTCTTAAAGGAAAAAGAGGGAATGGCTATTGCCTGTTCCTCGTAAGAATTAGTTACGTACTTTTACTTGAGAATTGTAGAGATGGGCTTTAATCTTTTCCTAAAGAAAAAAGTAGGAATGGGCTTTAATATGTTACTGGAGGGAAGAGAAGGCATGGGCTATAATCCTTTCCTAAAGGTAAAAGAAGGGACAGGCTTATTATCTTTTCCTAAAGTAGATGAGCCTAAAATATTCCTAAATGGAAAAGTGGGAATAGGGTTTTCAGTTCTTCTGAAGGGACAAGTCGGGACGGGCTTCTGTTTTTCCTGAAGGAAAAAGTGACGGAGAGGTAGGAAGTGACGGAGAGGTAGGAAGTTAGGAAATAACGAGGAAACTAGAGAAACCTGTCATTCTGATCATCTAGATATCTGCCTCTAGAACCAGAGCTTTCATCAGTGCGTTGACTTCTACTGTAATCTCTACTATCACCTAGGTTAATGCAACCGGAATTTTAGAACCCTTGCAGCTTCGGTTTATCTTCGGGTATTTCAGTTATTTTTATAAACATTCCAAACATTCCAGCCCCGTCCTATTTATAATATGCATAACTTTACTTCAATAACGTTTGGAAAGGTATCGTCGTTTTCCAACCTTTTAGTAATATAACTTTTCTTTTCTGCTGCATAAAACAGTAAGACATTCTTTCAAGTCTTTACATTATCGAGGGGGCCACTAAAAATTAAGTCAAGGCCCTGGATTAATACTGAATTATCATTAAATTAAAAAATAGTTACATATATTCTAACAATATTTTACCCCTTTTTCGATTCCAGATATTATTTAATTCCCCAAAATCTAGCAACCCTAATATACCTTGATCAATGATACTTTGAATAATCTGTTTGGCAGTTTTCATCTGGTCCGGAGTTCCTGACAGACAAACTTTACTTTCACTTCCTTCATCTTGGATCTTAACAAAATATCAAATTAAAAATAACAACCATAGATAACAATTTTTTTGCGAGGATCCGGATTTTATTTCTAATTTAAGTTTGCACGGTAAAAATTAAAATTATCATAAAAATCTGCACACCAATTTAAACAAAAAAACTATATCAAGCTTACGTCAATTCTGGCTCCCGAGGCCTCCCTGATCTCTTTGATTTTACAACCTCCTTTCCCGATTATTCGTCCTACCAACCCCTTCGGGACTCGGAGCTCTCCAGGGTTGTCGTCTACAGGTTCGGGTTCATCTTCCTCCCATTCGTCTCCCTTGGGCGGAACAGATTCGTCTCGTGAGTTGTTATTGGGACACAAGGTTGCAGCAGAGTTCGCGTTAGAGAACCTAAATTAGTTAGAGTTTTATGAAAAACGCGAATTGTTACATTTCGGAAAATTTAAATTTGTGAGAGTAACTCACTTATTCATTTGATTAATAATTTGACAAGGGGTATAGTACGGATAAGTATTGGCTTACCCAGTCTCTGGGACAATTCGTCCTCTTCCTCTTCCTTTAGCTCTGGTCAATTCAGAACCCTGAACAGAAAAACAATTACCTAGATCAGATTCCTGAGTCTAACACTAACCCTTATCTCAGTGTCGGTTAAAATTTAAGACCAAATTCAAATCATGTCAATAAGTCCTCCCCACATTCTGGTTTTATTATCTCAATACTGCTCCCACTCTAAACCCAAATCATGATTTTAATTCCCGTCAAGATCCCAAATCAAATCAAGATTTAATGGAAGTCCTACTATCCACGATTCAATCTCGAGATGATCAAGATTAAAACAAGGCCTTAAAGCTTGGAAACTGTTCAACTATTCCTTTTATACAAGGGAAGTGAATTTATTTAGTAAAATCGTTGCCCATAATCTCAATCACGATCCTAATCTCAGTCGCGAATCGTTATTTCCTTCCCAGTAATAATCCTAATCTAATTCTAATCCCGATCCATATCCTTATCTAATCCCAGTCTATTCCTCGTCCCGTCTCTTCACCTGGTCAGATCCAAATTTTGAATCCAAGTCTGATTAGAATAGTTAGATTTATAACCATGCTTCTAATCCCAATTCAGACCCTATCATATTTCTATCTCACCTCTGCTCCAATTCCCAATTCAGACATTCTTGCTTCGAGGAATACTAAAAAATATAGAAATACTTGGATTTATACGTTTTGAAAACTTCCACTATAAAAAAATGAAACCTTGATTTCTTTTTAACCAGGGCCCTTTTTGGCCTGAAAGTAAGTGCCGGCTACTCCTCGGCCTTTAATTAAGATAATGCATTACTATTCAAAATAGAACCCGTCAAACTTTCCTTAGAAAAATGTTAATTCTTTTCTTTATAACTATCTATTTCATCGCCCATTAGTCGTTTTTTCCTAGAACTGCAATTGAAACTTAATTGACTTCAAGAACGAACAAAAGGGATCTTAAACTTTTTTCTTAGTATCGGCATCGTTGTAAGTCTAGCAGGCTCCTCTTTAAATTGAAAGCATAGAAAACTTTAAATTACATCTACAATCCTTTAAAATTAGGAAAATTCTTATCAAAAGCATGCAGCAAATTTTTAATTTCACCTGAAGAGTACTACTTTATCGGTAAGGTTCTCTTCAACGCGTTTAATGGATCTCTTAAGCTGGCATTAAGCCAGATTCTGAAACATACATTACACACTGAATTAATTTACATTTTTACATATCAAGGACCTTTTTCCAAATCCAAAGGGTTTCTGTAATATCAAGGACCTTTTTCCAAATCAAAAGGGTTTCTATGACAGGATTTAAAGGGGTAATGATACTTTTCAACACATTGAATTGTCACTAGTATTGCTTTAATTATATTTTAAAAAAGTTGAAATTCGATGTTGCATTGCCACTAATTTATGTTTAATTAGACAGTTCAGATTTAAAGTTTTTTTTCTGCTATAAGTCTAGTGTTAACTTGATGATTGTGTCGAGCAATATTTTTAGTTTTTTTAAACATTGTATTGGCACTAGTTTTGCTAAAATTATTTTTTTTGTAGACGAGTTAACCCAACAAGGGTTGAGTCAGTTCAGTGAAACTATAAGCATTCAGAACTGATGATGATACACAATCGAGTAACCATTTGCAAAGGCTAAAAAACATAATTTACATGATTTCCCTGGGTCAAAATGTACGCAATTTCAGACTTTAGGATAGGCCGAAAGTTATTTTTAGCGAGATCGAGACTAAATATTCTTAATTTAGATCCCGAGGCAGATCTATAGTATCCTCATTAAGAGGCTTTCTTGGCAGACACGATGTAGTCTTCTTAAACTGGAAGAACAAGATCAATCTTGGGATTGGCGGAAGAGTTGTTTCCAGAGTTTTTTCCGACTTCAACTCCTCTCTTCTTCCTGATTGACAATAAAAAAGGTTAAAACACTACAAGTTACGTGCTTTAAATTGCTGATTTTAATAAATCGTGTTCAATGTTCACGTTTAAATTTGTTCAACATGCGTAATTATTTTATTCATCTAGACTATAATGTATATTGCTTAATTAAAATAAAATCTTGATAAGGTATAAATAAACCCCCACCCCTTTCTCATTCCCGCTTAAAACTTACTTTGAGGTGATCACGTAATCCAAGTCATTCACGGAATCCAATCTAAAAACAAAGCGAAGTTAAAATTTTTGTGTCTTCAGAGGATCTGCTAACAATAAAATTACCCAATGGATTTTGCTTTGCTCTTGAAACCTTTAATTTTTGATATTTGATATAAGAAATATTTTTAAATATGAAGGTTTCAGGGTTCGCCTTGTCAACTACTAGGCGCGGTAAGCAGTTAAATGTTGTTTTTCAAGCTGCTATTTTTTTTTGGCAATTGTAAAACACAAAATTTCGTGGATTTTTATTTGAATTTTTTTTTGTATTTGAATTCTTTTTAATGTTGAAATTGTTTTCTAGGCACAATTTAATCTTTTTTACCAAAAAATAGTGTCTCCACACAAGGTTAAAACATTTTCAATAGCATTAAAATCGTATTTCAGCAAAACATGACGGATATCATATTTTTGAAGAGGTGGTGGGGGGGGGGGNGGTAGAAAAAAAGAATAACAAACTACAATAACCTTGCTGAGCAGATCTCGAAGAGAACTAGAACAATGAGATTGATGAAAAATCCGGCAACAGATTCAGCAATCAAGGTCCACAGCGCGTAGTTGTAGCTGTTCTTAAACGGGGCCAGGGACATGCTCTAAATAGTAAGTCGTGAGGTCAATAAGTCGTGAAGTCAAGAATATGATCTTAACAAACAATAAGTCGGGGCCGGGGGAATATTAGATTCTACTAGGTTGGGAGGGTCGAAAGGGGGGGGGGGGTGTTATACCATGTTATAAACAATAAGTCGGGAAGTTAGATTTAGGTAAATTAAACCATTTCAAGTTTGATCCTCGATTTGTCTTGATTGAGAAGAAGTTTTAACATTAATAATTCGTTCAAATGTCGCCTTCTGCTCCACCTTCAACTGAAAAGAGTGTCGTCATTACTTAAAATTTCTCTCAAAAAATGTCGTCCTATGACTGACCTTTTTAAGTTTTGTCCTGGATATGATATTAATTTCGATAAACTATCATTATTATTTGTCAGATCTTCCGATATCAATGAATATTATTGTGGAGTCCTAGAATGAATATTATTATGGAGTCCTACAATGAATATTATTATGGAGTCCTACAATGAATAGCGAGTCCTAATGAATATAATTATCTCAAACTGTGAGAAAATTATCAATATTTACGATTAAGGCGCCCAATGACCCAATATATGGGACTGACCTGAATGAAGATAGTGTAAAAGTGGAGTAGAGACGAGCAGAGAAGGATCCTAAAATATTCAATTTGTTAAAAAGGATTTTAAGAGTCACTTCAACTTTTCCTTTGGATTTTTAGATTCTAGGACATTATAATGTAGGTTTGTGTGAAGAAGAAAAAACTAATTAATTGGGGGAAATTAAAACTTGTTTTTTTTAATTTGAATTTGTATACGATGGATGAAAAAGTTTAACATTCAGCTCCTCCAATAGTAATATCTAAGTCACTTAGATTAAGTTTTGATCAATTCCACGCATTTGATATTATCAATTTGTTCAAAAGTAAATAGTTATACTAGAAGCTTGAAAATCATCATTACGTTAAAGGGGTCTGCACAATCGAGAATTTACATAAAAACTTCTTAAAATCCAAATTTTAAGCCAACCGTTGTCTTCCTATTGCACAGGGTTCCACTCCGGAGGTTGTTTTAACCTTGATTTTTGCAGAAAAAGGGTCTATCTATCTATAAACCTGAAGAAGTTGCTTTGAGTATGAGATCCACAGCACGAGAAGATGGTATTGAGAAGGAGTTTGATTGCTGCTAGACCCCAGATAGTTGCCTGTACAACCATCAAACTTGTAGAACTATAGCTGCGGTACACCACGAACTTATCACAATCTAAAACATTGGTTTCAAATTTGCAATTAATTTTTCAAAAAATTGAAGAATTCAGGGGACATAAGTTCCAAAACTTACATTTGGCCCATTTCTAACGCTGAGTGTTAGAAATGGGCCATACCAATCGTATATATCTTTAAATCCTAGCCGAGTTGAACAAAACTACCTCGTTTTTATTAAAAAATTGCTAAAACTATATATTAAGAAATGTCAACTTTTGAGCTAATAAGGTGCGAGATTTAGATTTTTATGATATTGGTTTTCATTTTAGAACATATCCTTATTTTGAAACAAATACCGCAATTCAGCTCATGTCGCGTTTTAGGAAGACGTCCCGTTTTTTAGACAAATTAATTAAAAATAATTATGGCGTTAAAAAAATCAAAACTTTGATACTATCTTGTTCTTACAATATCGATTTACTTTAAAATCCGGGAAATTGTTTATTTAGAATTCAGGAAATAAAACAAATTTTATTCTTTTATTTAACAAATAAAATGGGGAAATTAATATCTTAGAACTAATCTAGCAGTTAATTAGGTCCTCATTTCAGTGATTTATTTTGCAAGTTTTCAAAAAAGCGGATTTTACTCAAAAACGGGAAAGTGGAGTTTGTCTCGAAAAAGCGACCATGATAAAAATTCAGGATATGTTCGAAGATAAAACCCCTGACAATGTCTTAAAACCGGTCAAGGGTTTAATTTAGAAAAAACTCCTTTTCTAATTTCGATTCCATACAATACTTTTTAATTGGGAATTGTTGTCCTCGTCGATCTTAATTCAATTATTTCTAGTTATTTGGTGAATTAATCACAAGACCCCCGTTAGGGGCATATTGAGAATATCTACATAGTCTATAGATTCACTGAGTAACAATTTTTACTCAAACAATGTCTCCAGCATATCGTAAGTAAATGTTTTTAACATTATATGATTTTTAGTGTTTTTTACTTCTTCTAATGCCGGGAAATAACTATGAGTATACTACCTAGGCAACGCTAAGTTCTCAAGCTAGTTTTGATAAAAAAAAAACTTAAAAACTCTTACTACCTTCACAGATGCTGTTAAACTTGAGACTGTAGAACTCCATGGGGAGGTTGAAACCTAGGTTTATGGGGAGAGCCTCATGTTCATGTTTTAGATCAAGATCGTTCTTCCTGAAACCAATTAAACATCAAAAATTGTCGTATCATCGAAATGAAAAAGTTTTAATTGTCACTTTCCATCAACAGAGAAGAACAAAGATTATCTACTTCCCCTTGTAGCAAACTTTAGTTTAGTAAACTTACACGTAGAACATAACTCCGTTGATTGTAGGATAGGATTTATTGTTGAAGGTTAAACTGGGTAGGGAGGCAGGGTCTTCACACAGAAGAATCACACCAACTAGAATAAAACAAGAAATATTTTTACAAAGAGTCAGGAATTTAATTTATAATGAAATTATCTGAAATAGGAACTTATGAATGGATGGGTGATGTTTTGTCATTGACTCGTTGTTCCGTGGTGACTAGGAGACACCAAGGGTAAAGAACGCTACATTACTGACTAATTAATATTCAAGATATCACAAAAACTTAAAATTGGAGAAAACTGAAATTAACCTTATAACTGTTATCTTCGTAATTCATTAATGATCTCTTTCCCATTAGCTTTTACAAAAATACATTTCTAATTACAGTGAATCACTACAAGTTTTTCCTATGTAATGTGAATTAACCCGGGCAAAAAGCTATTGAAAAGTGTGTGGGGGGGGGAGTTCATGAAGTGTAATTTTTACTTGAAATATTGATAACTTATTATTTACAATTAAGGTTTCTCTATACTAAAAGTGACTTGCTCATTTCTACTGCAAGAATCATCATTTATCATCAGATAAAGGTTTCAAGGGTAACGTTGTGAGACGGGCATTGTCATCTTTAAATGAATGATCACTTCCTACAGTCACAGTCCCTTTTATAGAAATTATACAAGCCCAAATACCTTGGATGTAGAGGCAGAACGCGAGCACAGCTAGGCCGAGAAGAATTAGGAAAACTCTTGAGCAGCATCTTAAGAACTTGGAGCACTCCACCTTTATACAAGTTCAGTTTTTTTATTCATTTCGAAACTTTAATTTCAATGCAAGCTAACAATCCGGATCCAATGATGCTTTATTTTTAAAAAATTCTTTTCTCAATAGGCGAAGGACATTTTCAGTGAAAAAAAAATGTAATAAAAACAAATTGTCTAACCTCGGTAGACTTGACGTCTGAAGAATCAGTCATCTTCAGCTGTTCAGATATTTTTTCAGTCTCATTCCCTTCGTCGTTTCCTGTACACTCCTAACCCAAAACAATATAACAAGGTAGGTTTAATATTTTTTAAACTGGAATGCATTCCATAACTTAAAGGTTTTATTAGGGCCATACAGGGTTACCCACAAAGTATGAGACTTTAAGGCCGACTTGACTCATATGACGATCCCAAGGTTAAATTTAGATGAAAATAGTTTATGAAAGTTTGCATTTAAGCAGAACATCAAGAAATAGACGGTATAAATTTCGTTCTGTCGTCTCTTGAAGTATCATCCTTTGTGGGTAACCCTGTAACTCAAAAAAGCTCTGTCTATGACTCACACAGGGATTAGTTGAAAATTAAAAATTTGTCATTCTTCAATATCAGAAGGTCTGTTAATTTTTAATTATCCTCTAAAAATTATTTATTTCCTTCCCGTTTTAGTAAACCTTTAAAAGAGAATGCACCCATTCTTAATATTGTCCAAATGACCAAATATGATAAATATTTATTGAGTTATCTAAATCAGGTTTGAAATGTCGTCTTACAAATTGGGGTTTCCGGACTTGTTTTAGTACAGGGTTTCCCAATAAACATAAGAATTGAGAGAAGACTTGAAAGCAGTCTTTGATTTCTGATATTTAATACATAGCAAAGAAAGGCAAAAAATTGGACTGTACGACTTTCTCTTAAAGTGGTCAACCTTTCTTGCGTCTTAAAATTGACGGGAGATATATGTTAAGAAAATTTTAACTTATTAAATAAATTTGAATTTGTAAATATTTACAATATCTTATGTCAATTTTTGATGATACAAAATCAGTTTACCACAATTTGAAAATCTTAATACAAGGCGTTTTCGTTATTAGATATTTAACTGGAATACTGCAATACAATTGTGTTCATGGAAAAATGCAGCATTGATCAACGACGATATACAAGTCGTCATTTAATTCCCATGTTTATTAAGGACACCCTGTTCCAATACAGAACATCATAATACTTACATCATAAACCTGGAGTGAGACGTAGAAGGCTGTAACTGTCGCTACGGCTAGAACTAGAATAGCGAGGACAGGATGCATGTCCAGGATGGTCACATTGAGCTTATACTTGAAGCTGTAGAACAGAGCCTGAAAGTATTAATTTAAAACAATCAAGTTAATTTAATTTTCTTAAAGGTACAATATCAACATTAAACGGAAACATCGTTTAAAATGATTTTTAAGATTAATTTACTCAATTTACTGAATTTACGGGAGTAAAATTGAGTAAAAACGCCAACATGAAGATATATCATGAACATTGAACAATCTGAGGGGTGAAAGGGGTTAATTTACATAAAAATTAATTTTTAATTTTCCCTTCATACTTAATAAATTGTAAACCTTCTATCCTATATGTACCTGCTGCAGCATACCCAGAGCAAAAAACGAGTGCAGAAACAACCATACACACAACGGACTAGAAATAAAATTATATTTCAACAAACTGAAAAATAAAATAAGAGTTAATAATATCGCAGAAATGCCAACATCTTAGAATAGATTAAATTCTTAGGTTTTCCACTTTTTGAGAAATCATTCCAGAAAGCCAATGTCTACTGAAGTTAATAATGAATCCGCAACATTTTTACTACCTAGATTCGGATCAAGATCCGAGTGGTAAAACGCCATCATTTGCTCAGATGTTGATATATTAATCCTTCCTGATCGTTGCATGAAAAATGAATTCAACAAATTTTACGAGAAAAAAATCTTAAATCTAAATAACACCTACTGAGCAGCAGTGGCGTAAATAAGGGGGGTTATTGGGGTTACTTACCCCCCCCCAGAATCCTGGGGGGTAAATACCTCCCCTAAATCTTGGGGGTAATTACCCCCCCCCCCCTAGAATCTTGGGGACACAAATATCCCCTTTAGTAACTTGATCTTCCATTCTCCATGTCAATGATTACCATTAATTATTAGGAAAAATGTAAAAAAAATCTTACTCAATTAACTTTATAAAAGTAACATCGAAAAATTTTACCCAAAAATCGAGTTTTTTAATGCAGTAGCGTACTTGCACTATATGACAAATTAAGTATACAAGTATACTTAATTTGTATAAAATAAGTATACCTAGAAAGAAACAAGAAATAATTATATGATCTGAAAAGGAACCCTACATGGAACCCCCAGACCGCCCTCAGGGTGCAGAGCATCAATATGCAGTCTGCAGCCTGGCATCCATCCAGGCTATCACACAATGTTTAACGCCCGTGTGATAGTGATACACTCCCAGTGGCTGGCAGCCCGAAGGCCAGTACCTAGTACATTGACGACAAGAAAATTTTAGAAAATAGAATATAAACAATGACACTATTTTTGCAGAGTAGCTTTTCTACAGATTTAAAAAGTAACATCTTTTTCTTCTTAGAATAAAACTATTTATTATGTTACTTAAAATGAATTGAGTTTTTTTACAGATCTTTGTAGTTAATGTCAAATGAATGACTATAATGAAGGAAATAAAACAAGGTGAAAGCTGAAAGGTAGGAAATGAAGCCTTGATGGAGTTTGTAAATACCAGAAATGAGTGGAAAATGCAAATCAAACCCAGCTAAAACCAACAATTTGATATACATCATGATATTTTTCTAGGGGGGGGGGGGGGGGGGAGGAAAAAAAAAATCTAAGATTTATATTCCGTTCCTTTCAAAGAATTAATGGATATTTAAAATTCTAACACAATCAAAAGTTAAAATCATGTAATGATTAGTCATAAAAATACAGTACAAACACAGTAGCCAGTCCAGTATTTCACGTCCAGACGCCTTTTAACGTGACAACGGATCAATTGTTCAGTTGGAAGGATTCAAGATCCAAATCCTACGCGCTGTTTTTAACCTTAGAAAGAAAAAACTTACTAAGTGAGGCGGGGTAGTTTGCAACGAGCCCCAATGTAGCCAAGAACAGTGAACGCCAGCATCTCGAACAAGTACACCAGATCAACAAAAATTGATCGCCTAAAGTGTGTTTTTTAAAATCTATAGGTTTAGGGAATAAATAAAATTCTTAAATAGGTTTAATTTCCATTCACTTTAACTATAATATTACGAAATCAGATTTTCAATATGGGATTTTGGCAAAAGTGACGAAAATACAAATACTGTAATTTCGAAGAGATTTTGTGCAAACATGAAAAGCGTAAGTTTTACACTAAAAGAAACCTAGGGCCCGTCCTAGAGAACTATTTTCGGACCCCCTCCCCCAATCTATTTTCTACAATCATTTTTTATTATTTTAGGGTTAGGTTAAGACAATTTCTGGGCCGAGCGCTGCGGCTAGGATGGGCTAGGGGGGCCGAGCGCTGCGGCTAGGAAAGGCTAGGGGCCGAGCGCCTCGCCTAGGAGGCCGGCGCTACGGCCACATGATCAATTTTACAAAATGTACAAAATTGATGGGAGGGGTCCAAAAATCGTTCTAAGAATTTGACGTGCAAGAGGCCGAGCACTGCCGCCAATAACCTATTATGCCTTCAAATCACGTTTATTCCATGAAATTACTAAAAACTTACGAAATATAATCCGGAACATTCACGATGACATCAGCGCTGTCAAAGTAGAGACTGCCAATCAGGTTTCCACTGAATCCGAATCCAAGAGTTGATCTGAACGTGCATAGAAGATTATTGATCAAACTTATCTAGCTTTAACAATTATGGTTCATAATCTACCTCATCTATCTTAGATCTAGTCTTCCTGATTTAATATACATAAATGGATGATATTCAACCTGTGCTTGCAAAGCAATGATAAATGGTTGATTATTCACCTTATCTAGTTTGGATACGTGGTTGGGTTGATCATCAACCTAATTCTAGTTTAAATGAATGAAACGACCTGAACTGATTTTGGTAAAAAGTTGATAACCTTGCTTTTAAACTTTTTAGGTTTAAATATTTGATAATTTACCTTATCTGGTTTGTCGGAGCGTAGGTGATGACATGGTTGATGATGGCCGAGTACGAGTTTAGGAATATGGTGTAGATACAGAGCAGGTTATGAACCATCATCAACCCACTTAACCAGGGAAACTTGTCAAACTTAAACAAATACTTTGAAAATTTAGTTTATCGAAATCCGTTCAAACTAATTGATTGCGCCATAGCAGTGAAAACATGTATTCCTAATCTTTCCCACATACACATACACCTCCATCCCCCTCCCCCCTTTTATGTACCGCGGTGCTTGGCACCTATTGATAGGGGTTTCTTGGGGGGAGGGGGGCGGATCCAAAAAGCATTATCTAGAGAATTGCGCCCGAACAATTTTGTAACTTTCCCCCGTATTTCCTATTACCTGAAATGAGCAGAATCTCGACTTCTGCTCAGTTTCCTTCTCCTCCTTCACATCTTTCTGAGAGCCCTGAGGCCTCACAACAGCTCCAACCATTTTACAATCAGAATTATTCTAGAACTAATTTCTGAGGTAAACATTGCAATAAGGCAAAAGCACAAAAGAAGCAATGCTGAAACAAAGGGCACATTGTCTCAATGTATAGAATCGTTTCATCAAAACAAGAATTGTACTTTTACTTTATTTCAAGGGGGTATTGGTTTCAACCCAGCAATCTGGTAAAAACCTCCGAATTTACAGATCATAGAATATTCATGAGAAAAATAAAGAGCCCATAGAAGGCATAACGAGAGCTTGTTGCAACCATATCAAACCAATTATATCAATGAAAACAAAGTCGACGGGTGAAGTCTAGTAATTATTAGTCAAAATCAGATCATAATTAGACTAAAATCTTAGCGTAATTACTCAATTTCATGATGATTTAACCACAGAATTCTTTCTCCTAAAATCGTGCGAGTCCTCGTGGAGGACGTGGAGCAATGGCGGAAAATGATGTCTTGACTCTTAAGCTGGCCCAGCTGGTTTGGAACCGGTTATAACTGGTTTTTGGAAGAAGATTTCTTGGCGTGGGATTTTTAAACACATTAAATTTTTTTTGGGAAATTAACATCATTATTGAATGCATAACAAAAAACTATAATAAATTAGCTCCGCCCTTAACAACGTTTAAATATTGAATGAAAGTTTAAACTCGTGAAGTGCAGTTTTGCAGAGTACACTTGTACGTAACGTACTCTTCGAATTTTTGCACAGGGGCCTCACATAGTTGTGGGGCTGATAATCAAGGAGAAGTTTACAGCAATTTATCAAGTGGAGGTTTTATTTTTTAATCTTTACAATACAGCAAAAAAAGGAGGGGAGTATCAGGGGTGTATTCAGAAATTTGTCCAGGGGGGCTTAGTAACCATTGGCCCCCCCCCCTTACCATCTGTGTAATCTATGGTTTTATAGGTTTTTGGCGCCCCCTCCCCCCTATACCCCTGGAAAAAATATAACCATGACCATCTTCCCCTCTCCCCCCCCCCCGGATTAAATCTGTATGTATAGTTCTTATGATTGTGTCTCACTTCCAGGGGCAGATACAGAGGGGGGGGGGGCGGCTGGACCTTCGTACCCCCTGACAGATAGGGCTGGGCGCGTTCCTGGTGGAAAATTGCTTCCAAACCTCGAGGTTCGGAAGCATTATGGGGATTCAGCGAATGACGCAAATCAAAACAAAACACAAACACAATTTCAAACAAAATCTACATAAGTTTTTCCGGCCAGAACTTTGATTGCAAAAAAATATATTAAGCAAATGTTAATTGGATACTATAGATCGACTACCATGCTTAAATAATCAATTTAGTTCCGTTTTAAGGAGAAATTGACGATTATAAGTGGAAGATCCTTCCCGGAAGACTGTTTGGGGAAGGTTCGGAAGCCCTCTGGGGATGCGCACTACCGCAAATAAGTAAAATGAGGTTCGGAAGCTGGATTTTTTTGTTCCGAAATAAGTAGCTAGCACCCCTCTCACTTAAATCCTGTATCCACCCCTGCTCACTGCACACCCATGCAATGGTTAAATAATATAAAAGAAAGTAGGATTAAATCAAAATATATTGTTTCTGCCATCTTGGCTCTTATATACATGATATATGCATATATTTTTCCTGTACCCAATATACATGTAATGGAGGGGGGGGGGATGTTGGTTGTAAATATGGGTTGGGGAATATGGGAGGGAGAGGGGAGGGGGAAATGGAGAAACATTTGTTCTATGTAGTAAACCCACCCAACCATACTTGATGTCTCATGTCACCGAATAGAGGGAGAGAGGGGAATTAGAATAGAAATGGGCAGGAGAAGGGGGGGGAGGAAGGGGGAAGAAGGAGGGGAGGAAGGGGGAAGGAGGAGTAAAAACAAAGGAGGAAGAAAATAAAAAGAAGTGTGGAGGGGCAAAAGCCAAGTTTGTCATCAAAACTTTTTAATTTTCTATTAGATTTTGAGTTTGTAAAAGGGAAAATGCGTCATGAAATTGTAAAAATAAAGTTATTGTGATGCATAATACAATGAGAAGGCAGCTAGTAGATGGTTCATAGCCTCTGTTCTGATTTTTATGCAAAACAAAACTTATCTCTTTCTTTTTATCATATCAGGCCATGCTAAATAAAGATATAAATAGTCATTCTTTTGAATTTACGACATCCAAAACACCCAACATGACATTCATATTTCTAACAATATCAATTTTTGTATGCTTTCAATGATAGGAATAGGTATGCCAATTATCAAGGGCATTTGACACTGAAGAATGGCCGGGCAAAGAGACATGTTTCCCTCTTTCAACTAATTATCCAACATATTTTTTCTCCACCCCTTCATACGTCTTTTTACACCCTCCTCTTCTTCTCATATCATTTTCCATCTTCTTTGTGTACTGTCTTACTGTACCCTTTTTATATAACCTTCGTTTTTCTAACCTGTGAAAACAAATCGACCGGTTTTTGATGAACGAAAGAAATAAGAAATACATTTAACATGTTTAGCAAAGTTATTTTATATAAAAGCTCCATCTGAAAAAAGTTTTCGGAATGAAAATAGTAAAAACAATTATTGCTTTATTTTTGATCTATTTAGGAGAACAGAGGCCGAATTTAAAGAATTTAAGTCGCGACATAAATCCGCCAAAACCCGGTTTAAATTGAGCGCCGGCTTAAATCTTGATACAATTTCAAGTGAAACCAATCATAATTAAGCCGCGGCTTAAATTTAAACCGCGGCTCAAATTCTTTAAATTCGGCCACAAGAAAACTATAAAAACACCCCTTCGCAAACGAGCTATACTAAGTCGAACTTCGACTTACCTTGCCACACACTTCACACACAAACGCACACACACACGATACTTTAAAGCCTAATATCTCAGTCATTATTATAGATTTAAGGCTAAAACTTATTCAGGGTACTAATGTAAACATTCCTAATTTACTCCTGCAAAATTTATTAAAATCCGAGAATCTTCGATTTACATATACAAGTGTGCTGTTGACAGCACGATTTTTTGGAGTTATTCGAAGATTGCAAAGACAAAATAATAATAGGGGATCTCGAAGTATCTTCGACTTACAACCAATCATGGTTCTCTCCAGGTTCTCTCCAGGTTCTCTCCAGGTTCTCTCCAGGTTCTCTCCAGGTTCTCTCCAGGTTCTCTCCAGGTTCTCTTCAGGTTCTTCCCAGGTTCTCTCCAGTTTCTCTCCAGGTTCTCTCCGGGTTCTCTCCAGGTTCTCTCCAGGTTCTCTTTAGGTTCTTCTCAGGTTCTCTCCAACTTTTCACCAATTATTTTCCAGGTGCTCACCCGGTTCTCTCCAAGTTCTATCCAGGTTCTTTCCAGATTATCTCCAGGTTCTCTTCCAGTTCTCTCCAGGTTCTCTCCAGGTTCTCTCCAGGTTCTCTCCAGGTTCTCTCCAGGTTCTCTCCAGGTTCTCTCCAGGTTCTTTTCAGGTTCTCTCCAGGTTCTCTCCAGGTTCTTCTCATGTTCTCTCCAGGTTCTCTGCAGGTGCTCTCCAGATTCTCTCCAGATTCTCTCCAGGTTCTCTCCAGGTTCTCTCCAGGTTATCTCTAGATTTTTCTCAGGTTCTCTTTAGGATCTCTCCAGGTCATTTCCCGGTTCTCTCCAGATTCTCTGCAGGTTCTCTGCAGGTTCTCTTCAGGTTCTCTCCAGGCTCTCTGCAGGTTCTCTCCAGGTTTTACTTCCAGGTTCTCTCCCGATTTTCACCCAGTTCTCTCCAGGTTCTTCTCAGGTTCTTTCCAGGTTCTCTCCAGGTTCTCTCCAGGTTATCTCTAGGTTTTCCCAGGTTCTCTTTAGGATCTCTCCAGGTTATTTCCTGGTTCTCTCCAGATTCTCTGCTGGTTCTCTTCAGGTTTTCTCCAGGTTCTCTCCAGGTTATCTCTAGGTTTTCCCAGGTTCTCTTTAGGATCTCTCCAGGTTATTTCCTGGTTCTCTCCAGGTTCTCTCCAGGTTCTCTCCAGATTCTCTCCAGGTTATCTCTAGGTTTTCCCAGATTCTCTTTAGGATCTCTCCAGGTTATTTCCTGGTTCTCTCCATATTCTCTGCAGGTTCTCTGCTGGTTCTCTTCAGGTTCTCTCCAGGTTCTCTCCAGGTTCTCTCCAGGTTCTCTCCAGATTCTCTCCAGGTTTTCTCCAGGTCTTCTCCAGGTTCTCTCCAGGTTCTCTTCAGGTTCTCTCCAGGTTCTCTCCAGGTTCTCTCTAGGTTATCTC